TATTTTGTGGAAGAGCCACACTCAAGGGGCCAAAGAGCCTCATGTGGCTCGTGAGCCGAGGTTTGCCGACCACTGGGCTAGGAGTTAGTGTGTAAGAGTGAGGTCAGTTGACGGCAGGTAATAGGGAGTGGTGGGGACTGTGGCGAAGTGACTAAGCTCCAATGGAATATTGAGATTTGGGAACGAGGGTAAAATTTTGTCAGCTCTTTCGATGGTATAAGAGACATTTAAAACCTGGATCGTGTGTGTGTGTGTGTGTGTGTGTGTGTGTGTGCGTGTGTGAACTATTCCAATTTTGAACACTGATAAGAGCTGTTTATTTGTTTATCATGTTTCAATGATCTCCCCATGAACAACGCATGCATCCATAGGCCAGACAGGTCCACGGGGTCCTGCTTTGTGACCTCCGTTTTAGAATCCTAAATCTTCAGGATGCAGGCTCTTAAAACTCACCGAGGCCTTTGGTTAGTATTTTCTAGAGTTTTCAGACCGATCCCTGGTTGAGGGCATCAGACTCACCCAGCGAGAGCTTTTGAAAACCACCCTTTTGTAGGGATTCTGACGCCTGCCCTTGGAGTGGGACCTGGGAAGGGTTCCTGTATTTTCTGACTCCTCGGATGACTCTGATGCAGCCAGGTTTGGAAAGCGGTGACCTCACCGGTTCCTCTCAGTGATTTTTAATCTTTTGGAGTCATAAACCCTTTCGAGAAGCTGAAGAAAGTTACCTACACTTTCCCTGGGGTGGGCTTGGGGTGGGGGGGAGATGCTCATTCAGAAAATATTTTGCAAACAATGTCAGGGGGCCTGAGTCCCCCTCCCTCTGACGGGCAACCTCGGCCACCAAACCTTGGAAGTCCCCGATGCTGGAACTCCATCTACAGGAGCCGAGAGAATGGCCCTGGGGTCCCACTTGCACTCCTGCAGTGACAGGGAGCTCATCACCTTGGGACAGCCTATCCCTCTTGGGGGAACGGTTATCTCAATGAAGTCTTTGTGTGTGTGTGGTGGGCTGCCTCTTTCCATTAGCAGCCTTCTCCCCCTCCTGTAGCTTTCAGCTACAAGTCTCACGTGTCCTCTTTCTAATCTCTCTCCTTTTGCTGGGTGGAGAGGGGAGAGTGCTGTAGGGGGCAGAAGAAGTTGGGGGGTGGCCCGTGATGAGGAGCTAGTCCTCCTGGGATTTGGGACTTGGGGAGCAGGTTCTTGGCCAGATCCTGGTGATGCTCGTTCATGCCACCTCATTCCTTTGCCCCCTGAGGGACCCCTCCATTCGCCCGGGACGCAATGCTAAGCCTCAATGCTTCCTTTGCTCCCGCATCTCCGTTCTCTCCCTGGACCTTTCCCTGTGGCTGAGCCTCTTCCAGTGCCTGACCCCCAAGCCTGGGAGATGACCCCTTCCAACATGAGTAGGTAGAGCTTGCGGATGCCGGGAGCAGCAACTACGTGCTCATTTGAACCCCTTTAGCCCAGCACCTTGCTGTGACCAGGGTTTGGTAGGAACTTGGGGGACAGGAATGCTAGTCTCTGTGAGATTCGTGCCATCACGCTTCTATTCAACATCTGCCACGCACTGACCTCACAGCTGTAAATGCGACAGCCTCGGATCTGCCGCCCAGCCAGCTGGAGCTTCTGGGACCTGCCTGCACTCTCGGGGCCTCCTGCTCTCTCAGGGAAGAATGTAACGTAAGGACTTTCTGAGGAAAGTAGGTTGGGGGGAGGGTTGTGGCTTTTCTTTGCCTTAAACTCTTCTAAACGTCAAGGGAAGCCTCTCCTTCTACCAGCTGAGGTGGGTGTCCACCGCCCCTCCCTCTGCACCCACTTTGGGACTTTATGGATTTAATTCCAGCCGAGCCTCCTCTCTCCACCTGGAAGAAGCCTCGTTTTGTAGCTCTGTCACCTCACCGTCCCTTTGATCACGTCAGTCATCGGATTTGCCTGACAAACGCACACAGGTTTGAAGGCAAATGCCCTGAAGTGTTCTCACTCACCTTTCAGCCCAGGGAGTCTAGAAAAAGGGAACAGTGGGCCTCAGCGACCCCCACAGGAAGGCTGGGGAGATGGCACCCTCTTACCAACCCCGCAGGAAGACAGGGATGACTGGCCACGTGTCGTTGAATGGCCGCCCATGGGCCTGGCAGAGTCCCACTCAGGTACTCACTCCGTGCCACAAATATTTACCGAGGCTCGGCCGGCGTGGCTCAGGGGTTGAGCATCGACCTATGATGAGAATGGTGCTCGGGGTCCCACTTGCACTCCTGCAGTGACAGGGAACTCATCACCTTGGGACAGCCTATCCCTCTTGGGAGAACGGTTATCTCAATGAAGTCTTTGTGTGTGTGTGTGTGTGTGTGTGTGTGTGTGTGTGTGTGTGTGGGCTGCCTCTTTCCATTAGCAGCCTTCTCCCCCTCCTGTAGCTTTCAGCCACAAGTCCCAGATATGTGACATGAGCAGTAACTACAGATATGTTGAGGGGAACCCGATTTAGAGAGGGGGTTACCCTTCAGCTGAGGTTTGTGGGGGGAAGGGTATTCCAGGCAGAGAGAACAGCATAAGTCAGGGCCCCGTGGCCGGGAAAATAAAATCGATCCTCTCAATTCAGCACTCGCACAGAGCTGGGTCACGGGAGCTCTGAGGAGGAGCCGAGGCTGGGCTCTGCATGTGTTTGCATATTAATGAGGCAAGGCCAGGGGCTAATTAACAAGGGCCTGACCTCCTGGGTTCTTAGGCTGCCGCCTGCTGCTGTCCAAGTCTTTCTCTTTCAGAGAACCTTGAGCTGGTGCCTGGGCCCCATGCACACAATAGGGCCTTTCAGGGCCTCCTTTGAGTGAAGTGTCCTGTTCCCACCACAGTTTTTAAGATGCGGGAACAAAGCAGAAACTCAGAAGGACTAAGAAGTTTTGTTCCTCGGGGGGTGGGCAGGCCAGCGCGCTGCCAAGTCCCAGGACCAGCCTGCCAGGGTTGGAGAGCCGGCCACTGCCCTGGGCCTGGGCTGAGTCATGGTCCCAGCTCCCGGGCTAAATTATCGCCCTTGGTTTACAGCTAGAAATCCCGAAAGGAGGCTCGGGTCATTGGTCATGGCTGTGGTCCCGAGGCACCAGGACAGACAGATCGCCTCTTCATCCCCTACAGGGGCCAGAGAGGGCTCAGCATGGGATTAATGGCGTGGGTTTCCCAGGGGGGAGGGCTGGGTCTCTGGTAGAATATTTAGATCATTCATATCAGTGACACATTCCCCGGGTTGCGGGCTCGATCCCTAGTGTAGGGCGGGCAGGAGGCAGCTGATCAATGATTCTCTCTCACCATTGATGTTTCTATCCCTCTCTTCCTCTCCCTTCCTCTCTGAAATCAATAAAAAAAATATTAAAAAAAATATTTACCGGGTTCCTAAGATACATCAGGGTCCAGACTCTATGCTGCAGATGCAACAGTCAATGACACCAAGCACAACCTCACCGTCCTGGAGTTTCTATTTTCGTAGGGGAGACAGGAGACAAACAAGCACACCTACAAATAATTCCAAGTCCAGATATGTGACATGAGCAATAACTACAGATATGTTGAGGGGAACCCGATTTAGAGAGGGGGTTACCCTTCAGCTGAGGTTTGTGGAGGGAAGGGTATTCCAGGCAGAGAGAACAGCATAAGCCAGGGCCCGGTGGCAGGGAAAATAAAATCGATCCTCTCAATTGAGAATTCGTACAGAGCTGGGTCAAGGGAGCTCTGCGTGTGTTTGCATACTAATGAGGCAAGGCCAGGGGCTAATTAATGAGGGCCTGACCTCCTGGGTTCTTAGGCTGCCGCCTGCTGCTGTCCAAGTCTTTCTCTTTCAGAGAACCTTGAGCTGGTGCCTGGGCCCCATGCACACAATAGGGCCTTTCAGGGCCTCCTTTGAGTGAAGTGTCCTGTTCCCACCACAGTTTTTAAGATGCGGGAACAAAGCAGAAACTCAGAAGGACTAAGAAGTTTTGTTCCTCGGGGGGTGGGCAGGCCAGCGCGCTGCCAAGTCCCAGGACCAGCCTGCCAGGGTTGGAGAGCCGGCCACTGCCCTGGGCCTGGGCTGAGTCATGGTCCCAGCTCCCGGGCTAAATTATCGCCCTTGGTTTACAGCTAGAAATCCCGAAAGGAGGCTCGGGTCATTGGTCATGGCTGTGGTCCCGAGGCACCAGGACAGACAGATCGCCCTCTTCATCCCCTACAGAGGCCAGAGAGGGCCCAGCTTGGGATTAATGGCGTGGGTTTCCCAGGGTCTCTGGTAGAATATTTAGATCATTCATATCAGTGCAGGAAGGGACGACCAAGAAAAAAAATAACACTGATTGCTCTTACAGCAAGTGATAGATACTCATCTACACTATGGTCATAGAAATGCAAATGAACTACAACCAGATATCATTTCTCAAATGTCTATCTGATTGGCAGAGATCTGGAATGCGCCGTGTGCTGCTTGGGGAGGTGGGGGAGGTGGGGAGAGACGGGATCTGACAGGGATGGTGACACACACAGTGGCCCCCAGGACACAGACGGCCTATGTGCTGGCAGGAAACAACACTGCTGCTGGGAAATTATCCTATTCATTTACACCAGGACGTGGGTGCAACTCACGGTGATCCTGCTTGTAAAGCATTGGGAAGGGACCGAATGTTCAGGAATCATGAGGCGTCGATGCAGTAGAATTCCAGGCAGCCCCGGAGAACAGCAGGCAGCTCTGCACGTCCTGGTGGGGAAGGATGGAGAAGATACAGTGTTAACCGAGGGGAGCGAAGTGCAGCATCGTGTGTTCAGGGAGGTGCAGGGGGCCACTGTTCATGGGGGAAGAGCGGGGGGAAGCTACCTAGTCACACATGTTTGTATATGAACAGAATCGGCTTGCAAGGAGACCAAGAAACACATGACAGTGGTTGCCTCTGAGGGGGGACTAGGGAGCCCGGGTCAGCTCAGCTGGGAGGGACTTATAGTGTATGTTTTTGTGTTTTTTAAAGCATTTGAATTATGTTTGTCCTATGCTTGTATTTCTTTTACAAAGGAAAAGGAAAGAGGGAAGGAAGGAAGGGAGGAAGGAAGGAAGGAAGGAAGGAAGGAAGGAAGGAAGGAAGGAGAAAAGGAAGGAAGGAAGGAAAGAAGGAAAGAAGGAAAGAGAAAAGGAAGGAAGGAAGGAAGGAAGGAAGGAAGGAAGGAAGGAAGGAAGGAAGGAAGGAAGGACACTCAAAAGCCCTTCGAAGTAGTCCCCCATTTCACAGATGCTGCCACTGAGGCAGACAGAGATGAGCTAAGTGACTTGCTTGCCAAAAAAGGGCAGGACCTGGATTCTAACCCAGACCAACTGGCTTGGTCTGTGCATTTTACCACCTTAGAGCTGCGAGGAACCTGGGGGTGGGGAAACTGAGGCCCAGAGAAAGAAAAGGGAGTTGCCTGAGGTCATGGGAAAGAGGAAGCGTGGGATTAGTGAATCCTGGGCTCAGCTGGGAGACGTGTGCTCTAGCCCCGGGGCCCCAAAAAGGAAGAGGCTTCTAGATAATGCGCAGAAAAACGCTGTTTTTGTTGTGTTCACAGTTTTAATGGACTTTAAGGCATCTTAGAAAGACGGGCAACTAGTACATGGAGTTTATAATTTCACAAAGGTTCCTGCTTAGGATGAACAAGCTTGAAGTGAGCCAATGTACTGGGAAGACTGCAGAGGAAGAAGTTATGGTGGAAGGCGGGGGAGAGTGTGTCAAGGAAGACTGCAGTTGGGCAGCTCTGCTCCCCAGTGGTGGCCGCCTGGGGTGTGGGGAAGCACGGGACTTGGTTGGAAGGTCTGTAGGAGGATTCTCTGAAAGGTCGGGGGTCTCTGGGGGGACCTTGCCGAAGGCGGCAGTCCCTGCCTTGACTTTTCCAAACAAGTCCGGTCCCCCAGGGTGTTTTGCTAGAATCTCTATGTTTAATCTTTAAAGACCCAGCCTTGTAGAAGCATGTACTTTTTCAGGGATGCTTATCCTGCTAATTGTATCTAGAGCTTAATTTTAGTTCAAGCTGTTATGACAATAAAAGCCAAAGGAGGCAGGTGAACAGGGCTACTTGGCAGCGATAGCCGAGTAGTGCCTTAGCCCACTCTTCCGCAGAAACGGGTGTTAGAGTCATCACTCATCCGTCACTCAGGGTCTGCGGGTCAGCCCGGCGCTGGGGCCAGAGGAGGACGTTTTTGAAATGTGTGGAATCTCAGCCTCCTCGCTCATGGCTCCTCTGCCCAGGAATTCCTACCCTGTGCTTACATTGTCATCCCACCACCCTCTCTGCCTCCCTGTCTGCCACTGTGGGAACCAGCACTTTTTATGGGCAATGGCATCTTCAAAGTGTTTTGGCTTCTTAATTAGCCGCCTTTCACACCCAGCTGACTAGATTCCCAGACATTCCCAAGGGAGGAGGGCTGCTGGGGTCAGCATCTGAACGCCTTGGCGGCTCTGAGTTCTAGACCAGCCTGGGAGAGGGTCCTGGTCTCACCACTGAAATGCAGCTTATGTAATACTAGAGGCCTGGTACACAAATTCATGCACCAGTGGGGTCCCTCAGCCTGGCCTGCGGGATTGGGCTGAAACTGGCTCTTTGACATCCCCCAAGCGGTCTTGGATTGTGAGAGGGTGCAGGCCAGGCCAAGGGACCCCACCGGTGCATGATTGGGGCGGGGAGGGACACAGGAGGTTGGCCAGCCAGGGAGGGACCGAGGGAGGGCTCCAGGGCATGTCCGGCCTGTCTCACTCAGTCCCGATTGGCCAGACCCCAGCAGCAAGCTATAACCCACCAGTTGGAGCCTCTGCACCTGGTGGTCAGTGCACGTCATAGCAATTGAGCAGCCTTAGCATATCATTAGCAGTTTACGCTTTGATTGGAAGACCGGACACTTAGCATATTAGGCTTTTATTATATAGGATATATACATAAGGAGCTTTGGGAGCCTCAATCGTTTTCATCTGTGAAATGGAGGGGCTAATAGGGTTGTTGGGAAGACTCAACATATGAAGTGGCTGGTGCAGGACCACTACTCCATACATGCTGGTCCCCTTCACACTCAGATGTCACCTCCTCCACACGGCTTCACTCCTCACCACCCCTCCTCTACCCTTCAGGACATTCAGTGTTTCTCCCTTTTAACGCTGATCAGTTCTCTGTCTTGCATTAGGGTGAATGGTGTCCCTGTTGTAGTCATTAACTCCTTGAAGTTGGGGCTTATGTCTAAGGCATCATCGCATCTTTCTCGCTAGGAAGCTCAGGGCCTGGCATGAAACTCATTAAATGTTTGCGTGCCCAGAGGCCTGCAGCCCCGCTCTGTGGGCGAAGACCGGTTCTCTCAGTCATTAGCTCCATGATCTTAGGCACGTTACTGACCTTGCCTGGAAGGCCTGACCTGTAAAATGGGAATAATTAATAAATGGCACCTACATCACAGGGTTGTTGTGAGGATTAAATAAGTTAATGTGCTTAGAACAGTAGCTGCCACAAGGCAAGAGCTTTATAGCTGTTGGCTATGCTTACGTTTTAGCTATTGTGATTAATTCTGCTATGAATATTGGGGTACAAGATATCTGCAATAAACATGGAGGTGCAGATATCGCTTCAAGACAGTGATTTTATGTCCTCTGGATACATACCCACAGTGGACTTGCTGGATCCTTGGGTAGTTCTATGTTTAATTATTTTATCTGTGTATGGAATCTTTTTAAAATATATATATTTTACTTTTATTGATTTCAGAGAGGAAGGGAGAGGGAGAGAGAGAAACATCAGTGATGAGAGAGAATCATCAAGCAGCTGCCTTTACGAGGGAGGAGCTTCAACCCGGGCATGTGCCCTGATCAGGAATACAACCATGACCTCCTGGATCGATGCTAAACCACAGAGCCACTCCGGTTGGGCTCTATGTTTAATTTTGGAAGAACCATCATCCTGTTTATCACAGTGGCTGTGTCATTTGCATTCCCACCAACAGTGCACACCAATTTCTCCATATCTTTGTGTGTATGCTTTCTTACCTTTTAATTTGGTTCATATCAAAGTATTACCTATTCAAATAATAAATTACATATACATTTTTAAAATATATATATATATATTTTTAAATATAT